GAGGGATGGCTGCCTACGCTGCCTATGCAATGAAGTCGATAAGTGGTTCCGCCGGAGGCCCCATTGATGCTTCGGGGCTTCCTTTGTTGCCACTTTCGCCTTTGCCCTTCAACGTATCGCCGCAAGCTGACGGTCCCGTGCATCACTGGAGGGAGGGTAACCTACCTGTTAATTCTAAATGCGGCAGCTGCAAGAAAACATGCTGGTCGGCTGAATGCCTCACTGGCATGAGGTGTGAGTGGTGTGGCGTTACAGTGAGTTTGGCCTATTGTTCGTACACTATATCTATATATTATGTCTACTTAATTAAAATAAGTAATATTTCTTTGCAAGATACTTATTTTCGTGAATTTATTTGTAGGTACACTACACCTGCTACCGAAACCTGCCAGTCGAATGTGATTATGGGGCTCTTCGTGACATTATGCTCCCACCCCAGGCAGTACTGATTCCTCGGACCAGTCTCCTAATAGAACACATTGTTGGGATACCAAAGCCGCAGCCGGATATCTACCCAGGATGTCAGTTCCTCCATAAATTTCCCTCCTCTAATGCCAAATAGATACTTACGACTCGACCTTTCATTAAAGGGAAAGCAAATGAAGTTGGATAGAGGTGTCGTGTTAAGTGTATGCACACAGACCTCTGGAGGAAATGCTTTAATTATATAAACCAACTTGGATGATAGACGCTCTGAAATGCAGGAATTATCTTCCTTTTTAAGCGAATTGACGGTTTTAAACAATCTGGGCCGGTTAAGATGTTTGATTTCCAAGTTACAGAATACCTGCCCAGATGTGTTGTCGTTTGTCCTATCTACACGGACAGTATTGTGGCAACTAAGTAAAGGCCCATCATACAAGCAGTGTGTAAAGCTATTTCGTTTGCATCGATTAAAAGGCGTAGAGATAACACTCATAAGGGTTATAAGTATGATGATTTTCCTACTTGAGCAATAAGCAGGATGACTCATAAATTACGTGCGCACACTCTGAATCACCTTCTCAGCTAGCAAACACATTTTGCTAGGAATATTACCAAAAGTCGACTTCTTTAATTATACGCATACGCACACACGATGATTCATTAAGATGGACACTTGAATCCGTTGGTTATACTGTCCTTCTGCTTTAGTACCTGCGCTCATGGATGGGTTCTCAAGCAGTGGTGAGAGTCTGGACGAGTCTGGCTTCGAACGGAGAACTACACGCGACAAGTCGGATCGGGATTTTGATGGTAGGCATCCTTTAGCAGTGCCTTATTAGGATTTCCATTGGATATTATGTAGTGGGCGCTAATGGCCTTCTTTGGCACTAAAATCACCTCCTAATGTTCACTCTATTGTCGGGTAATATCAGCAACAAAATCGTATTTTCCTTCAGAAAGTGTTCATGTCAGTTGATGCATGAAGATCTTTTCATGCGATAAAAAATCCACGAGTATGGCTTATTGGTCTTATCTCCCTATCCTTATTGGGAAGGAAAATTCCGCTCTAATACGTCGTCATGCCTCCCTTTTCGTTCAATATTGTATTGGTTTGACCTAGCCCAATTCCCATATAACATTGTTTTCAGTAAGGCGATTTTTCCGAATAACCAAACATTGAAGTTGTAGGTTTGAAGTAAACTGGTTGGCATTTAGACTAAGTCGAGCGTCAAATTAGCGTCCTAAAACAACAGGACCAGTTTTTTTTTACCAAAACTTGACCAGCGCCACTTGAAATGCGTGCATGATACCAAATCACGCAAGGTGTAGCTGACTGACCAATAAACACTGGAGTCAACTTAAAGTAACTGCTTTGCAACTTGGTCATAAACATTGCCTGGACTCAATAAAATGTCGGTCATAAAATAGATTTTTCGGTACATATCGTAGTGACTTTTTCCTCTCTAAGACCCCTTCATTTGGACCTTTCCCCCACTGCAGACTATGTCCGTGTGTACGATGGGATGGACCGGTATAGGCGACATCAGTGTCGCTATCTCTCCCTTGGGAAGAATGTCTCAGTGCGGAAAGTTGTTGAACTCTCCCTCAAAGCATTCCAGCTTCCTCCAGATGAGGAAAATGACTTTTATCTCGTTGAAATAAATGAACGAGGTGGGTTGCCTACTTTTTTTCTTACCCCTTTCTGCCAGCCTTCCCGGCTTGTACTAAGAATAGTGTGCTTCAAAAGCATAGTTCTTCCTGGCGTTGTTTATTTATAGACGGAAGTGAGCACCGCCTTGATCCAAATACGGCATTCAAACGTCAACTTCAATTCGAAACACGCCGACCGCAGATAATTCTACGCTATATGGAGCGAACCGAAAATAGGGAGTATATAAATGTATATACGGGATCACTGACGTACGTTCTGTTAGCATTTCCTTCTACTGCCTTTTTTGTACCAGTACTATGTACTTTTAGTCTGTCAAAAAATGAATGATCAACGTCTGTGTTCTTATAAAGTTAGCGTCATGAAATTCTCCATTCAGACACCTCGTATAGCACTTTCTGACCCAGGATGGTTGGTTGGCATTACAGTCTGTAAACAGTTGTCTTTTTTCACGTTCGTATTTTTTCAGAAAATATGCTGATATAAATATACCATTCATTCGGGTCGCGATTATGCCGGAAACATCTGCTCACGAAGTCTTAGTGCTTTCACTCTATCGACTCGGAGTCGGGGTAAGTACGCTTGCAAAATTGGTTTGCATTTCTAAGTATACTTGGCATATTCTCATCCCTGTAACTTGTGGAGGACCAGGAAATCACATATTTCATAGAATTAGGATTATTTATTGTAACAGGGGTGCCATGAAAGAAGCAATGACTTTTTAAGTTTGCTTACGAGGAAAATCAGAAGTAAACCATATCACTTTTATAGTCAAATATTCGAAAATATCAGCCTCAGTCATTTCGAGTATATTTTGAGAACTTTGTTTTAGCGTTAAGTAAATTGGTCATAACATTGATCTGTATAAATATATAAGTTTGAGTTGCAGAACGGCTCAGCAACTAAGTTCTTGCACATCTATGCCGCTTTTCAGCACCTTGATGCCAAAAATTTCAACCTCGTCGAAACTGTGGTGGACCGTGGCCTGGTCGAACGCGTCCTTCAGCCTACCGACAAGCCCTGGGACATCATTGACAATGTGCGACTGGAGTCAGTGAGGGCCCTCCGACTGACACGGTTCTACATTCGCTCATTAAAGGATCCCTGTGGCCACGGAATCTCCCTCTTCGTGGGTAATCTGAAAAAGGGCCTGAGCCAAAGACTCTACGAAATTATACTGCTTGAACGGCTTGGCTTTCAGAACAAGTGGGACTACATCGGTTAGTTCGTTCACTCTGCCCGAACCCAAAATTTTATTGTTTCCTATTGTCGATTGCAGTTAGCATGTCTAGGAGTATCAGTTTCCTCTTAAAGTCTAGCTTCTCCATTAGATGTAAGAAAAGAAAGAAGGTACGAACTTCTGTCCGCGACTTACAGACAGTCGAAATATCAAAGCAGCAGCATATGGGCATGTCTGAAGGAAGATATGGGCTATTTTAGTTTAATTATGGACAACACTTCCTTATAATTATTGCATACTTCTCCTCTTAGGATTTGTCATTTGCAACACCAAGTCAGACGATGATCTTCCGACTACAGGCTTGTATTAATGTGTGTGGACATGAGTGCCTTCTTCATAACTGCACCTTACTCTGTCACGAACTATATATTAATAGTTATACACAAACGAACTTCAAGATCGTAGTGTCTCCACACAGACTTCAGAAACGCTAGAAGTTGGTGTCTACCGGGAATGCCACTTGATTGCGGAATAAGGTACTGACTAATTATAAAGCCCCTTTGCAACTGTAATTTTTCATGACGTAAGTAGGAGACACAAATAACCACCGCAAATGACAGTTTGATTACTG